AATCCGAAGTAAAGTTGTCTACAGCAGTAGCCTGCAGTCTGCCCGTTCTTTCAGGTCCTCAAATCCCAGGTCTTACAGAAAGATCTGCACAGGTCTGTGAACGTCATCCGGGTGGGTAATATTGACAGAAGCAATGCTCAGAACAATGGGGATTTAGGTGAGGTCTGGCTTCCCAGAAGAGCAAAGACTGCCCGGTTATTAACATCCATTCCCAGCCTTCTTGGTACAGAGAAGATGCACACCCTTTCTGCTGAAAGGAAAAGCCTGTGTGCTTAACATTCCTGGGGTCTCCAATGCTTGTCTGTGAGCGTATGGCCCTCTACACATGTCTCCACGCTTCCCCTTCCCTCCCGAATCGCAGTTATCCTCAGGTTCTGAACTTGCTGGTTCCTTGATTTGGAATGCCCAGACTCTAAAAACCATTGTCTGCTGGTTCTAACCTACTAGGCCTGTGGGATACTGGGCTTTTTCTTAAGGGCCGCCAACTAGCTTCCAAACCAAGACCTGGAGACTTCTCGTTAGTTATGAATGCTCGGCCTTTCTTATGCTTGTCCCCCTAGCTCTTATACCGTAACCTGTTTCTCTTCATCTAGGTTTTGCCTCGGGGCTTTTTATCTTTCTTTCCTTCTGTTTCTCTTACTTTCACTGTTTCTTGTGTCTGGCTGACTGACAGCTGTCTGGCTTCTGGTCCCATGGGGTGTCTCCCACTTTCTCCCGTGTTTTCTCTTCCTTCTTCTCAAGCCTAAACTGTTCCTCCTATTTATTCTCTCTGCCCACCAGCCCAGACTATCCCTCTCCTGCCTAGCTATTGACTGTTCAGCTTTTTATTAGACCAATCAGGTGCCTTAGGAAGACAAAGTGAACCATCTTTTCACAATTAAAAAGATGCAGCATGAACAAATGTATCATGTCTTTCCATCATTAACAAAGACAGAAGAAACAAATGTAACACATCTTTGTCTAACTAAAATAATATTCCACACCACTATGGCATTTTGCAATAGCAAGTCATAGGGATTTTGGCTCCTTTAAGAATAATAGTCACTGGTTTGAGATTGCTTTAGAGACCTAAATGGTACGTTTGCAAGTTAATTTGGAGGAATATACAGTGCGTTTTGTTCCTTAGATTCTTCTTAGATATAATTTTGTGCCTCCTTGGACAAACATTTACATTCAATTAGAAGGCATATTTTTTTATCTTGTTGGATATCAGATCATAGCTATAGAACCCAGTCTGATGAAAAGATATGCTGAATGCTGTCCTCAGTGTACCTGAATCTGCATACGGCTTTCATGCTTTTCCAGATAGAATCTATAGTACGTGCTGGGCAATTGTGTTTAAATTGGGTCTGTCCTGAGAAAGTTCTGGGAAAGGGCTGCTCTGTTAACATTTAGTATGTGTTCACTTCTTTTAGAGGTGTGTGTGTGTGTGTGTGTGTGTGTGTGTGTGTGTGTGATGTTAAAGCAGAGTTTTGAAATAGCTAAGCCAGCCTGTTATCGAGTCTCTGACTCCATGAAGGGTGAGGGTGAATTGCAAAGAGACAAATGCACACGTGACCCAGGCATTCCATCTTAAATCACAGATCATTCGCCCAAGACTAAAATGGGGAGGCCTTGATATAGAGAACTAGATATAGAGACAATATGAAAATCCCAAGATGACTCTAAAATCAAGGACTTAAACTACATTCTCTCCAATCAGACAGTTTCAAGATCTCTTGGGACCCGCTTTGATGTACAGACACACTAAAAACTTTAAAATCTAACGTCTAGCTTCCGCCAATTGGACCTTTTTCTCCTATCTTGAACCGATGACAGCGGTCTTCTATGATCTACTCTTAAGTACGGGGCGTGTCTCGTCTGCGCTTCTTTCCTGCCCTTCACTCACTGAAGTCAAAAGCTTCATGAGACTAAGGAGTCATTTCCAGTCAGAGAGAAAGAGTTTGGCTTATAATTGAATTTTCAATGAAGTCATTATTCTTTGTGCGCTCTGATGTTAATCTTAATTGAGGGGCTATTTTCTCAGGCTCTCTGGATGAGAACATCCGTTCTTAGGGTTCTGGGAAATGTTTCCGTAACCCAGTCGGATTATCTCCCCTCCAATCCTTACTCCAAATACATATTCGGTGTCTAAGATGTAGTTTCTTCTCTAATTACTGGTCCATAGTTACTTGGAATCTGGTTGTTGTGTTTGTTTTTCTTTTTCCTAAAATTGAAAGAAATTTAAAAATGTTAAGATCACCCACTAAACTTACGAAAAGAAGTTTACAAGTGTCGCCACACACACACACACACACACACACACACACACACACAAAATCAAACTGTAGCACAAGTGCCCTGTTCAACCTAAAAGTGTCATGAGTCACCCCATTGCCACCGCTACCAAGGGACTTTATTTTGCATTAAGAGACTTTATTCATGCGTTATGCTCCATATTCAGGATCTTCTTTGTGAAGGTTTGGGGCAGCTGGATGAGAGTTCACCTGGAAGGTCAGCAGAATGAGAAAACCCCTGGGCCTCCAATACAAGGCTGCATCCTCCAGTTCTGACTCCCTGCAGAACTCAGGTTCCTGAGTGCTGAAAGACCAGAGTTCTCTATTTTGACACCTTATTTGTATGTTTTGTTCATGCACACTTACATATGTTTTATATATATGTATATATTCATATATATGAATGAACAATGTGTGTCATGTATGTACATGTGTGTTTATGAATGTGTGCATCTCTTTGTACAGAATAAAAAAGGAGGAGGTCAGGTATCTTATTCTATCACCCTCCCCCCTTTTCCTTTGAAACAGTTGCTTTCAGAAAACCTGAAGTCAGACTAGTTGCCAGCAAGGCCCACAATCCTCCAGCTTTTGCCCCTTACAGCACTAGGGCTACATGTGTGCACCAAGCCATGCTCATCTGGCTGTGGTTGGCTAATTGGCTGGTTTTGCATGGATTATGAGAATTTGAACTTGGGTCCTCAGGGATATGCAGAAGCTGCTTTTACTCAGCCTTTCCCTCAGCACTGTCTTAAATGAGACTTCCATATATGAACTTACACATATATGAACTTACACATCTTGGTGTACACATGGGTAAACAGAATTTCCACTCACTATATTTCTAGAATTGTATTTGTGCCTGTTGATGATATGTAAAATTATTATAGAATGAGGATGACAAGGATAAGGATGGAAATGGTGTGAGAATTCATAGAGTCTCCCAAGAAGTTATTTTCATAAAGTTCTATAGTTAAAATATGTATCTGTTACATGAACACAATGATAAATGGAAGGAACACCGTGGGGAAGACCTCAGTAGCCATGACTAGACAATAGTGTGTGCAGATTAAGGAGACATAGAGACATAGAAATCAGACAACTGATTCTCACACAGAGACAAGCTTTTATTAAGTGATATTTTTTTCCAGACTGAATTGTAGGGAAACAAAGTCTTCATTAGGAAGTAAAAATATACACAAAAGGAAAATATATGTGCCCATATAGTGATGCTGATGTATTATGCCACACAGAAATTTAAGTGCTCTGCCATATTATAATTATAAATTTAGAAAGAAAAGTCAAACTATAATGTAGGCATAGATGAAGCTCTTAAAAGACTATATCACAGAAGTCATACTGTTAGTAAAACAAGAACTACAACATAAACCTTTCTTGTTTCAAGCACTTTCTCCTAACCATACACTATACTATTAATTACCTAAAGTTCAAATATTTTCAGTTTGGAAACAATGTTTTTAGTAACAGGACATGCCTAGGACCTACTACAAAATGTGGGGAGTGCCGTGTAAAGTGCAAATGTGAAGTCCATTGCTTAGAAATAATTTAGAACTTCAAACTATCAAAGACAAACATTAATCAAATTATCATGCCCTTCTGTACTTGGGCCCTTTGTGACTGAGCAGGAAAGACGTCCACAGAAGCCATATTTGGCTCTGCTACCTCAATATGACATTGAAGCCCATACAGTGTCAGACAAAAGAATAGAATTCTAGGGTAGACCCCAAGACAGGGTAGTACTACCATCTTGTCTAGTGAGCTGAAACTGGAAACTTAAGCAGGATGAAGGCTTTATTGTACCATGGTCCAAATTGATTATATAGAGAAGAAGCACGTGAGGCTTAGTGGTTGATGAGCAGGCGTTCAGTCTTTATGAACTTGCTGAGTCATAAGGTTCTCCAGTTATCATCACTCCAGTGTGGGTACCACAGATTCTGGACTGGGTCTCTTCTGACCATCACTGTCAATATTCTCATGTCCATATGGATAAAATTAGGTAGTTCTTTTTTTCTACGTCTACAACTCATCCCTCTCAACAGATGTAACTTCTGTGAGCCCTCATATGTGATCTTATTCCCAGAGGAAGCTAAATATCCATAGCATATGCATTAAGCCCTTACATCAAGCACACACCTTCTGTCACAGAGCTGATTTCAGATACCGAAATCTGTCATACGGAATAGACACAAGGATAGACAGGAAACCAGAGAGTCTTCACACAAGATAATCCAAAGTGAGCACAGCTCTCCATAAACAGGCTGGGGAAGCTGTCAAGTTTGGAACCAAGCTACTTCCCCGACTTTCCCTGGGTTCCTGCTTGGCACAAGCTGTAGGTCCATCACCCCTTACTTCTTTAACCTTAGCCCCTGTCCTGTCAAGTACAGAGAAGTCATTTTTTATTTTTTTATTTATTTTTTTATTTATTTATTTTGGTTTTTTGAGACAGGGTTTCTTTGTGGTTTTGGAGCCTGTCCTGGAACTAGCTCTTATAGACCAGGCTGGTCTCGAACTCACAGAGATCCGCCTGCCTCTACCTCCCAAGTGCTGGGATTAAAGGCATGCGCCACCACCGCCCGGCTAGAAGTCATTTTTTAAAAAAATTTCAAACACTCTTAGAAAACTTCTCTCTTCTTTTGAGTTCTTTCCCTGTGTCATCTTGAACTTGAAGTATGATTAATTAAAAACTCAGAGAGAGCTTTTTCCCCCGACATCTTAGGGAGGCTGCAGTGGTCGTCGCCACTCTCCGAACTTCATCATGCCGCCCAAGGATGACAAGAAGAAGAAAGATGCCGGAAAGTCGGCCAAAAAAGATAAAGACCCAGTAAATAAGTCCGGTGGCAAGGCCAAAAAGAAGAAGTGGTTCAAAGGCAAAGTTCGGGACAAGCTCAACAATCTAGTCCTGTTTGACAAGGCTACATACGACAAACTCTGTAAGGAAGTGCCCAACTATAAACTTACTACTCCAGCCGTGGTCTCTGAGAGACTGAAGATTCGCGGTCCCTTGGCCAGGGCAGCTCTTCAGGAGCTCCTTAGTAAAGGGCTTATCAGGCTGGTTTCAAAGCACAGAGCCCAAGTAATTTACACCAGAAACACAAAGGGTGGAGATACCCCAGCTGCTGGTGAAGATGCATGAACAGGTCCAATCAGCTGTACTTTTGGAAAAATAAAACTTTATTAAATCAAAAAAAAAAACTCAGAGAGAGATATTGGGGTTCAACTTGAAGGTCAGAAAAGCAAAAGAGCCAGCCACTGGCTCTTATGTCTACCTCAGTTCAAAATGGGGATCCTGCCTCCAAGAATCTCAGAATGAGACTGAGACTGAGAGCTATCTCTTCCCGTTTTAGAATCCTCTCTAGGGCTGGGATTAAAGGCATGCACCACCAGTGTAACTCTTCTCTCTGGTGCCCAGCCTAGAAAGTGATAACCTTCTTGTCTGTGCGATCATTCACCTCTGTTCCTTTCTAGGAAAGTTCAAGTTCAAGGAGAGCTGGTTAGTGACCTTCCCATCACCATGATCTAAAAAAACAGCTTAGTACTTAGAAGTGGCTCAAAGAATATTTGTTGACTCAATGCTAGTTTATCATAAATTTTTATTTGTTCCTTGCATGTTTTAAACTACATTTTTGCGGTAGTATTATAATGAAAAGTGAATTTAAAATGTTTTTCCTTTCTGTTGGGGGCTGCAGCTGTCCTCTGCAGAGCTTGCTAGTCTGGGCTCTGACTCCTCATTTACACCATGGAGCATGGTTAGACTGCATTGTCTGTGTCACTACCGCAGTCTCTGTGGGAGGTATTTTCCCCTTCCCATCATCTTTGAGTTGTTCACCACAAAGCAGATGCTTTGGAGGCCTGCTGCTTCTTCTCTCCTATCCTCAGGGGTGTAGACTTGTGGATTTTGTGACTAAGAAATGACTGTTTGACAAAGCAACCTGCCAGGCCACCCTTGTCAGCTAATGACAGGCTGGTATACTGAACAGAAATCCTGCTGCCATTGCTTAGTATATGTCTCTTGGCATGACTCCCTCACAATTCTGTCCATTCTTCTCCCTATAGTCAAGAGAGCTATAATCACTATGATGTGTTCTGTGAAATCAAAGCTAAGTTCTTTCAGGGAATTACTGTGTGGCTTCCTGTTTTCAGCTTAAGGTGTAGGTTTTCCTTCCTTTGAACAAATGGTAATATAAATACAGTAGCTTTTGGAGCTTCGTGAGAATAATTTCTCCATATGGTACCTCTGGTAGCACCGAAGATAATTTTTTTTAAGATGTCTGTGGGCTAGTTTTTTAAAAAAAAATCTTGTCAGTCGGCAAACATTTTACTGGCCTCCACAATAGTTCACCTACACATCACAATGTTACAAGGGTAATTTGTCACTTAAATCCTCTTCCGAATGTGTGGAGAATAAGCAAACCTAGCAGACACATCAGAAGAGAAGAAGCCCGGCGTACCTTGCCGCCGCTATGGACCCACATGAAGCAACAGTGCAGTAGCACAATGTCTTGTTTTTTTGTGTCTAGAATCCTTAGACACATTGGCAAGGTTGTCATTTTCATGCATGTCCAGGGAATTCGGAAATGATGAGAGATATTGGCCCACAGGACAGTATCTATGCTATGGAGAACCCACAGCAAGTGAGTTGAATTTATCTGGTGTGGAGACGAAAAGCTGATTAGCCAGTTGAGGGCAAATGAGGAGACAGCTTCTTGGAGATTAGCTGTTCCATTGGTGTCTTACATTTCAGAGGGATGTAATCATTGGTTTCATGATTAATAATCGTCATGGATGGCCTTTCTCTCCCATCCATAGTTCATCTAGAGATTGAAATAAATGCAAAATCAATCTTGCAGAATGTCGCATATCTTGTTGTTCCTAGTCAGTGATAGATACAAAATAGGTTAAGATTGGCCGAGCAATTTGAGCTGGACCGTATTACCAGTCAGAGGGATAAACTGTTGAGCTCTTTCTAGAATGATCTACTATGGTGTCATCCCTGACAAAGGAAATGAACAAATCTATTTTTTTTCCAGAAGAGTGGCTTGGCAGCCTTAAACATAGATCTAATCTACATGGGAAGTAGAAAAAGACAAAATCTCCTAAGTAAATTGGAAGCATGGGGACCTTGGGGGAGGGCCAAAGGGGAAGGGAGAGACAGGGAGGGGAGCTGAGAAAAATGTAGAGCTCAATAAAAATTAAAAAAAAAAGAGCTGTTTGGCGCCGTTCCTATTTCTCTTCATACCTCTTAGCAGTCTCTGCCAGTACTTCACTCCTGCTGGTCCCTTACGTACAGACTCCATTTCTACAGAGTCACTTCCTGACAAACCTTGTTTCTGATTGGTCACAACTGCCAAGGTGGGGGACCTGGCAATCACAGAGCATGTTCCCAGGTATTTCCCATCTCTGTGCTTCCCTGCTGGGTTTAGAGTCCTTTGGGATAAGAGCACCAATGTTCCTGTTCTTCTCTGTGCATCTTATTTCTCTGCTCCTTTTCTTAGTCAGCCCTTCTAAGTCACACCTTGAAGTCACCCACCCACCTCAGGGAAAAAAGGATCCAACTGTGCAACGTAAGTCACTCCTAATATATACAAAGACTTGTGAGGGATACGATGACAAACTGTAGACAGTGAATTCCTGAGGAAGAAATGGTTTGTTTCACTCAAAGTATTTAATGCAGTATGCCCTGTGGGGCGGGTACTGTGCTGTTGGACATAATAAAAGGGCATATGTGGAGGAAGCAACTAGATTAGCAGCCCCTCATGAGGACAGTGGGGTAAGTACAAGCAATATGATAGGGAACTGGAGATTTACAGGGGAAGGCTTCACAGAGAAAACAGCCTGCGAGTGACTTGGACTGTTTACCTTATTCCTAAAAAGAGAACTCTTAGTTATTTAGCCAAATAACTACATCCTTGAGTTTTGTTTACTATAGAAGGAATGGAGACCGAGCTCAGCTGTTAAGAATACTAGCTGCTCTTCCAGAGGACCTTTGTTCCAATCTCAGTACTAACGTCAGGTGGTTCACAACGACTTCTAACTCCAGCTCCAGGGGATCCCATGACCTCTTCTGTCCTCTTTGGACACATATGTACATACACATACATTTCAAAAATTAAAATTAATCTTAAAATGCTATTTAAAAGGTGTACTAGAGCAGAGAAACTTGTATGCTATGGATACAAATGGGTATACAACCTGGCTTAAGCTTCTCCTTCTCTCTTTCCTATAGGAAGAGGATGGTGTCTTTTCCAAATGGAATTAACCCATCATGATTTGTGGACAGTAGTTTTGCTTGCTGTTGGTGATAATAAAAGGATCACATGGGTATTTGTGCATTGCAGACTTTCCTCTCCCTTTTGCTCTGATAATCTATATTAATTAATATATAATTATATAGTATAATTATATAGTAATTATATATAGTGTGTAAGAGTGTTTTGCCTGCATCTACGTGAGTGTACCATGTGCTGGAACCCCAGGAATTGGAGTGGATGCGCATGGGTTGTGCTGGGAACTGAACCCTGGTCCTCTGCAAGAGCACTGAGTATTCCTAAGAGCTGAGTCATCGCTCTAGCCCTGTCTCCTCTGAGATTTTTTTTCTCTGATATTTTGTCACAGTAACAGATGTTAAACCATCTCCTCCCTCATTCTGCCTTCCTCAGGTAAGAACAACATTCATGGCTTGATTAAAGGTCAAATTAGGGTTTATTTCTTTAGAATCTGTTGAAACAATACTGGGTGAAGAGTTTTGGTTATTAGATTCCTTTTTATTTATTTCCTTCCTAGGACTAAATTCTCATAAGCAAATAACTATTTTGTTAGAATACTTTAAAGAATTATTTTCCTACATCAATTAACAACTAGATGGGGTCAAGCCCTGGAAAAATGTACTTCCTTCTCATTTATATCAAATCACAGCCTCTCCCATGAGCAAGCTGGCTTACAAATGCTCCTAGCACATTCTGAGGTGATGCTTGGGCGGAAGTGCTTTGAAGATTGCAGTTTGAAGGAGTTGGTCATAGAGGAACTAAGTTCCTGTAGAATACTTTTCAGGGAAAAAGAAAGTATTTCCGAGAAAAGAAAAGTGTTAATGCATTTTATTCTTCTAACTGGTGTTAATTACTGAGAATTATTGATTTAATATAAACTCTAGCTAGACAATTACAAAACCTCTATAAGCCTAAATTTCCATATCTGTATGTGGAATTCACTTTGGATAGATGCGAGGACTGAAGAGGAATATTAATATCTCCATCTATCTGTCTGTCTGTCTGTCTGTCTATCTATCTATCTGGCACCTATTGGCATTTAGCTACTATTTTAAGAGTGCATCAGAGTTCTCACAATTTATTTCTAGAAAATGTTCGAAGGAAAAACCACTTTATACCCTCTCAAATATTTTCGTACTTTTCATTTTATACTATTCACTCTATTTTTAAATAGCAGATGGTGGGCTCTGTACTTACGTGGGAGCGGATTAAAGGCTGCCCTTTCCTGCCTACCTACTTGGAAAAGATCCCCAAATCACATCCCACATCTCAATGTCATTAAGACCTCTAATCCTCTTACGAAAGCTTTCCTGGTTTGAGCTGTAATCATCAGTGGTTAGATCTTTATTTGGAACAAAACAGCATCTCTGGGTATCAAGGTCTGAACTGGGTTACCAGCACTGCAACACGGCTGCAAAGAGCTTCAACTCTGCAAGATTCACACAAGCAGGCTCGCTGCCTTGCAAGACCCAGGCTCCTTGACACCCCGACTCAGTCCCCCTTCTGTTCATCCCCGAAGTCTGAACATTTTTCTGTTTAAATCGATTTAGCTTTTGGGTCGTTTACAGGAAGAGCAGTTTGGAGAGGCTGGAAGGTTGGGCAGAGACCCGCTAGAGAAGTAACATAAAGGTTTGGTTTATTGAGTTTTCCATATTTTTTTTTTTTTGGCCAATTTTAGATTATAACAGAGAATGAAATAAGAGGCGCTGGCACCAGGCCTGGCCATGTCTCTATAGCTAGGGAACCTTGGCAAAGCTGAGGCCACCAGCTCCCCTCCCCCATCACTTGCAGCCAGTCCACAACACGCACCCTGGAAGGGTAGCAAACAAGGGGGCTGGTCCCCAGGAACAGGTTGTCACCTTCACCGTTC